AGTGAATCAAGAGCAAGGAATGGCAGCAACTTCCCACAGAAAAAAGCAGTAACTGTGATTTCACATGGCTCTAGCTCAGTGTGGGGCTCAAACAGGGTGTGCACACTGTTTGGTCATCTGCCCCTCTGCTCTCCTCTGCACTGCACGCGTATTCATGGTTTCCTTTCAGTGAATTATTCAGTTTCCTTGGCTGAGAGATGCTGATGTCAAAGAACTCATACACAGCAGCATGTGAACCTTACAGTATGGACACAGGCCAGTTCTTAACACCCAGCCCTGCCACCAGCACATGCTCCTGGATGTGGATCACGGATGCTACATTGACATAGACACCAACACCAATCTGTGCACTCTGCTATATGCAAGATGTACATTTACACCCTCGCTGCTTACAGAAGTAGCTTTTCCTTCAGTCTGAAAGGTGCAAGATGGGAATGGGTGACAAACGAGTAAAGGCTTAGAGGAACAACCACCAAAATCCAACCAGTTTAGTTTCTGCTTGGTGGTAAGCCTTGGGCTATTGATTTTCCTTACCGCAATGCTGCAAGGCAAAGGAATAAACTGTCAAGAGATGGTAAAAGGACACAGGGCAGCAACTTGCCAGAAGGGTAATACTTTGAAACCTGCCCTTTCAATTTCTTATGGGGAAATGATCCCTGCAAGCACAACAAGCCCTGATATCATCATACCTCCAAGAATCACACACCCACAGTGCTTTGTGACCCCCATGAAGCTGGGCTGGTTATGGTCAGGCTTCACAGTCCTGAAGAGAGCACAGGAAGAGGAAGAGCTAGGAGCATACTGCCAATAACCACAAGCAACACCTTGAAAGAATGGTTGCTGCTGTTATAGGATCTTGATCTGAGTCAGCCTTTGCATGTTCCTATCTGGGAATCTGGCTAACCCAACAGGAACTGCAGGAATGCCTCATCAGGGAAACACTCATTTGAACGCTAAAATGTGATACGAGCAGGGCAAACGTGCAGAAATCCTAGAAGCAGCCCTATATATTTTGATGATGGAAGGCCAGGGCTGACAGTGCTGAGTTAGCCCAAAGCTCAACAAGACCCAAACCCATAGACTTTAATTCCTGAAATGAATGTGCTTTCTTAGGGCTAGATTCCTGCAAAAAACATTTCCTGTTCTCCGAGTAATAAGTAACAGAAATTGAATACAGGTGTGTACTGCAAGCTGGCCCTCGCCTGCCCTTTCTTGTTCAACTCTTTTAGGCCTCCTGAGCAGTATTTCTTTATCTATTCTACAATATATTCAAATTTTCAGTTTACACCAAATTCCCATATAAGTTCATTATTCCTAATGGACATTATCTGCTAACGATGCTTCCTAAAAGATGTATAATCATTTCTATATTTTAGTTATAAATAGACTTCCTAACTCACTCTTTGTGTGCAGGTTCTTCCTTTGATTTTATAGTCAAACAGCAGAAAACACTTCATACAAAAATAATTCACATAACAAAATTTCCCTCACTTGGGAGTTTTGAAACCTCATCTTGCCAGCCTCTGCTCTGGGTTTGTCCTCTGCAAAAGCACTGGCCTTCCTGACATTTACAACCTCTTCCTTCTAGCACAGCCCTTATGCCATCCCATCTTCCTGGGCTCACTGCTTTGCTAAGGGAAGGACAAAAGATAGAAAGGTTTTACCATTTAAAACAAACAAACAAAAAAAAAGCATGGTGGGAAATAGCCTGAAACATTGCTTTTTATAGCACTTCTTTCTTTCCTACCTTAATATTTGTTTTTTTCAATGACCAAGATTTTCTCCGTACCAAGCCACTGCTGCAGCCCTGGTGCTTGAGGGACATCACCAAAGGCTTCCTGGCTTGGCACATGCAGCAGCGCCTCAGCACCCCTTCAGTTCCAGATTTGCTTTCCACCAGTATATTCCACCCGGACAGAGCTGCCACATTGTGCTGCTTGGCACCCACAGGAATTCACACTGAGTCCTTAGGCTGCATATTTCACAGGCTGCATCCAAACAACATTCATGCCCTAGCTTGGACTATTGCATCAACTGCTTATTTTTTCCCTGAGGGAAACTTTCCAAGCTGCTGTTAAAGACAGCATCATTCTGGAGACTTCTGCATGTTCTAGCACTTGCTGTGTCCCTATTATAATATCTAGAGTTATTATTTTTCTCAGAACATTTGGACACTTTATGTAGAAACTAGACTATGAAGCCATGTTAAATGTCAAGGTATGAAAACAGACAATTCCATTCCACCCTGTCCCCATATGAATTTTAAAGATATCTAGAAATGATTGGGGTGTGGGGGAGAATATATGACTACACATCTTCTGTCTAAAACTCTCCAGAATCCCTCAAAAACATGCTTTAGAAGGTGAAAGAACTCTGAGACACCACAATAAATCTGCAAAGTGATAACCATAGAAACGGCCAGCCCTGCTCTTCTCATGTTAGCACATGTGTCAGAGTCACCAGGCGACTGGCACTGCAGGTGCTGGAGCAGCTGAATGTACTGACAGGCACAGACTCATCCTCCTCCTCTAGGTGCTTCAACACTCGTGCCTGTTGGCATGGTCATTTCTGTGACTCAGAAGGGAGCAATTTGGCTGCCAAGTCTATACTGAGAATGGGAATTGGCAGGTTTAAGCTTACTGCTTAAAGCTTCAAGAGCTTTAAACATGAACTTGGTTCAACTTGTATCACACCCCTATAGCTACTGCCGCAGACATTTTAATGTGCTTCCAGCAGCAAGTTGGCTCAAGATTTGTCACATTTTTCTCAGCAACTCATAGGCCACTAGTCTGTGTCTGGAAGCAAGTCACCTGAGCCAATGACTCACCCTGGGCACACAGTTCACTGCTCATAAAGAATGCCTATAGATCTGAGCGAAACATCTCCTTCTGCTGATGTTTATCTAAACAATCAGTTCTTGAGGCTCCCATCAGCAAATCTGTTCATTAGACACTAAGCTCTGTGCTGCTGCTGAGCCAGAGGCTGGACTAGGTGACCTCCAGAGGTCATTTCCAACCAGAACTATTCTATGATTCTGTCATAATTTCAGTATTCCTGAAAGACAGAAACAGTTGCTACAGGGAAGTACTTTTGATACTGAGACTTCTACAGCAAAAGAATGGGTATTGCCTAACTTGACAGTTACAGCTTTTTGAAAAAAACACAAAAACATCTACAGAGCTTCTATAAGTACTCCATCCGTCCCTTGATATTGGCTTATGTAAAGGCGAGACCCTGGTTCCTTCTGCACTGAGATTGGATGCATAAATTAAAGAACACTGATTTTTCTGACAGCTCGCCAGAGGTGAAAGAGGCAACTAATACTGAGTTATAGCTGGGAAGTTAGATTTTCTGAACAAAAGACCATCTATCACTCCTCTAGATGACACAATGTAAGTAAAGCTGATGCTAGCGTGATAAAAAAGCAACAGTTCTGTCTAAAATACAGAAACTTCTTCCCACTATAAACTATATTCTACAGTATTTTCCTATGTGTTAAAAAGCAGACCTGCTCACACAGGTCCTCTGATGCTCCTCCACTGAAGAGGAACATTAAGAGTACAGATTCAGAGGAGTTTAATTGGCTTCTTAAGATGTTTTTTCTTAGGCTGAAATTTTCAGGGAAAAAAGCCCTTATACCTGAACAGGTAAAGTCCTTTGTTGAATATACATGAAGTAAGTACCAAACCACTGAAGAAATACAGGCCTAGTACGGTGAATGCCTTCAGAACAGCTGTAAGTGTTACAGGACATATATAAGTCTTGATGTTCTGTCTCAGAGAGCACAGGGTGGCACAGCACAGTGTTGCTCCTGTGTCTGTGTTTTCCAGCCTAGGGGAAGTCCTGCTTTGGTCTTTTGCAGTACAAACCCCAGTGATGTGATATTCCCTGCAACACAGCATCACCAGAAAAAGTACAACACAGTGCTTTGCCCTTGGATGCAGATGTGGTCATGCTCTGAGTTCTCTTGACTGCCCTTAACAGTTTCCATGCTGTCTGTAGGAAAAAAAATCTAGCCTGGATGCAAAGGAGGTTGTTCATTGGGGCAAGAAGTGAAAACAGAGCACAGGTATGTTGCAAGAGTGTTTGTAGAAAAGTGCTTCTATTTAGATCTCCTTTAAGCTGATTCTTCTATTAAATAAACAATAAAAAAATCCACACTGTTTTTGCAATGCTTACAGCATGGAACGTGTTGGGGTAGCAGATTTCAGGTGTGTGGTGTGGTCATGCAGTGCTAATGCTAATGGCTCTGAAGTGGTTCTGAAATCCTGACTCGCTGCCAACTTGTGGGCTGTTATTTCCTTTTCCAGTTCACCTTGTGTTGACTCTAACAATGCCAATGATGTGTTGGCGCATGGGTATGTGCAGAAATGCATTTCTGGTATGTAACATGTCAGAACCTCTTGCAGCTCTGCAATGCAGAGCTGGAAGGCATTATCTACACATATTTCAGACTGTAGGTTACAGAAAATTGCTAGTTCAGACTCATTCATTAGCACAAACTGCAAAAGCTGGTTTTATCTTTTTAATGACTCTTTAAAGATACTTTACTTTTCACTACAAACTGTCAAAGCATGCACACAGCGCCTGCGACCGTGTACCACATTTTGCCAGGCTCACTTCCCACCCAAGTGCTGGGACATAAAATTTCATCTAAGTGATTTGATTTCTAACTCTACCAGTTCTTCCCTTATGCATATTTTGCACCAAGACCATGATTTCAGTGGATTTTGCAGAACAACACTACAGGGAGTGGAAAAGCCTTTAATGATACTTTTTCCTTTGCTCAAAGCTTCCCCAGGTGTGTTGCACAATGCACACGCATCCCAAATAGGCATGTGAGGCCCTTGATGATAACCTGCTGCACACAGCAGGGTCCACAGCTCCCTTTTGTGTTGCAAAGAGCTAATAACCATGTGGCACTCAAACAAATAGTAACAGCCAGATGTAACCTAGGGAGAATGGTTTTCACTACAACTAGTAATGAAGTTGTCACTTACAAATTCTTCACATCAACGATTCCTCGAAAGGCCTTTCTAGGGATTCCTTTTATCTGGTTTTCACTCAGGTCTCTGAATAATGGAAGAGAAAAAAAAAAAGCATTGTATTAACAAAGAGAACCAATTTCTCAAATCTAAATAAAGGCACATACACAAGCTTGGCAAAGGAGATGTTTCTGGATTTGTTACACCACACGTTCTCAATTATCTCCTCCAGAGGTCTGCGGCATGAGCTGAAATGACTGTCCAAAAGAAACCACCAGGATTCGTGATACAAATGACAGAACTTCCAGAAAACATCACTTGTGGTCATGACATTGGCACGATGCCACGAGTCACTGGCAGAGTACCTGCAGCCAAACCTTAAGCCCTGAAATTGCAACCCTGTAGTGGAAATGTAATCTTCTCACCATGCTCCTGTTTGTTTACTGACTGCAAAACCCCTGGCTGCCCCTGCTCAGATTACAGCCCTTATGTGAAATTAAGAGTCAGGAAAAACATGACAATCATTCTCGTGTGAGCTTTGTGAAAAGATCTCGATCCACTGCATGAAAAAACCCACTGCACTGTGTTTCATTGGGAAGGACAATAGTTAATCTTGGCTAAACAAACCCAGCCAAACAAACCCCTCCAAGCCCCACAACAGCAGCAATTCAAAATAGCCTTCTAGTATTCAAATCATTTGAAAATATTTCAACTGAAATCACTACATCTGCATTGTGAGCACAGGTAGAGCATGAGGTGCAACACTGCAAGCTGCAGTTTTGTGTTACACAACCTGCATTCAGTTGCTTTTTTCTTTGCTGCACTATAAATACTTCCCCTGGAATATTCCAAGTTCACAGCCCTCTCTAAGTGCCAATGGAGGCAGGAAGGAGGGCATCAGGAATGGGAGGGAAACGGACACAAAATCAGAAAGTTGGAATGATTTCAGGCTAAGGAAAAGCAGCATTCACAATGATTTCTTTGCTGGTGCCCTGTCAGCATGCAAAAGAGGGAGCGATTTCACTCCAGTCTGGGATACAAACTGGGGGAAGAGAGAAGTGCAAGAACATGAAAGGAAAGCAGAAAAGTGGGAGAGAAAAATAAGAAATAAGCAAATGCAGCAAATGGAAGGCACAGGGATTGCTGGACAAAAGGACAAATAAAGGTAGTACCATGGCGCAGGACATTACAGTGCATCACTTGGTGTGGCTGTGTTCCTATGTTATACAAGCCCAAGACTTTGCCCCATTCTCAAAAAGAAACTCTGGCTTTCTAATGACTATTAAACCGAATGGCAGTCATCTGTACTAACCTCAGATACTCTTTTCTGTAAGTACATTTTGTGTTGCAGCAAGGCTCCTTTCTAGTCTCCACCAAATTAGCTTTATCAAATGAGAGGCCAGAAATCAGAGCCTGTCACAAAAGCCCACATTGACATTGCAGGTCAAGACGTGTCACACAGGGCTTTCTTCTGCTTTCCATCAGGCAGATAGGGAAAAAAAGGGGACTATGTCCTTGTCATGAGACTAATTCAATTTATACCAGTCAGGCAGTCTACACCAAATTCTCAAAGAAGCCACAATTGTCCATTCAGACTATTGCAAACACAAATGTGCTGCTGGGTACAAGTCTCTTTCTCAAGGCAGATTAACATTCTTTGCAACCTCCACAATTTGTTTAACACTGATCCACACCGTGACCCTTGCTTCACCTCCCCTTTCTTCTGCCAGCAACAAAATATTAGTTCTTTAAAGGCAGACCTTCAACCCAGACAAATGATCAGGCAACCTGGACAGAGAAGAGTCACAGGTAAAGTGTATTTTAGACCTGTAAGAAGGAAGTCTTATGTTGAAGACCAGTTTCATGACAGGGAGTCTCTCTGGTGTGACAGTGAGGCACAGCAAAGCCACAGCTAGTGGTAAAATCCTGACAAAATGGCTTAGCAAGGCAAAAAACTGGTAAGATCGGAAAGCAAGAAATATGCAAAGCAGGACAAAAAGGGCTCCAAAAAGTACAACTGTGTGATCAAAGCAGAATTGTGAGATTAAATAAAACATTTTGCTTGCATTTCTCTGGCATTTTATTGTGCACTATTTCAAATAAGGTTTAAAAATTAATTAGTTCAAGTATTTTTTTTTCCCTAATATTATTGTGGTCTGAAAGGGCTAATTCACATTTTGCTTTGTGCTTTGTCTTTCAGCTCTAGCAGGCAGGCAAAAAAAGGTGACAGTAGGAAATTAATCTATTTTCTATGACAACCTTCTTGTAAACTGCATTAATGTTATTTTCCATTTAGGCACTCTCCTCTGGCTAACAGAACTGCCTCTCTAAACATCCAGGATCATGGCCCCATTTCATAAACCTCTCCAGTGGTTTGAAGAAGTGACACCTCAGTGACGCAGTGTGGAAGAGAGCTGACAAACATTGCTTCATTTCCCGTAACTGCCTCCTCACAGTTCTAATCATCCCTTTCTGAGGTCCTCAGCAAGAGTGCTCAGCTCTGCTTCCTACCACCCTGCCAGACTTTTGTTAAGCATCTTTCATAAGCAAGCAAACAGCAAGCAGACTCAGCCTCTGCATTCACAGCTCTGCTCTGAGGGAGCAGACGGCTCTAACAGCAACTTGTCTACACAGTCTGTCTTCAGGTTCTAGCTTTTCATTCCCTACTTCTCATAACATAATGGGAGGCTCTCACTGAAAGTATGTAAAGTAAGTATTAGCTGTTAACTGCAGAAAACCAGATAAAATTAAGGAGAGGCTAAAATAAAACCCTAAAAAAATATACAGAAAAGAAAATGAATCATGGCAGTCAAGAAAAAATACACCACTGATCTCAAGAAAAATACATTATGATTAGTAGGACATTTCCTAGTTCACAGTCAGAGGTTTCAAGCCACCTATTTATGTAATGGAAGACGTTCAGTGCCTGGGTGCATGGTGGATCCTAAAGAGGAAATGCGAATTTCCAACTTTAGAGAAACATACACTTCCACCCCCCCCCACCCTAGGAGGTGATGTTGGAGACCTGACCAAAACCACTTGACCTAAGTACAAACGTGCCACTTTGTCAGACGCACCCTCCTTCACAAGGGTCCTTCTGTACAGAAAGCAGCAAGCCCAGCAATGGCAACATTTGCATCTTGATAAACCAGACACTTTGAGCTACACAAATGTTTCTAGATTTAATTATTCTTCCTGGGTTTTTTTGATGCAAACAGGCAAGTTTCATCCCGTTCAATCTGCCGCACGGCTCTCAAGCAGTGCAGACAGCACAGAGATTCTGCAACCAGGCACAGCCTCCAGAAAATGCAGCCTTCTTTTGAAAGTGTCCCCCTGCTTCCTTCACACAAGGGTCCTGCCTGATGGAAAGGAGCTCCAAAGCCTCGGCAGCAGATCACAGAGGAACTAACTGAGGGGAAAGCACAGCAAGCGGTGATACTGGATATGTTTGACCAACAGCTTCCACAGCCAGCAGTCTGCGGTGAAAGCCCCTAAGGAAACAACACTCTTATTTCAGCGATGGGGAAACGAAGCCACAGAGACATTAAAGAACTTGGACTTCGAGTTTGCATAGATCAGAGATGCATGAGCTAGCAAAAGCCAGCTGCTGTGGCTCACATGCCCTCGCAGCACAGCAGAGCACACGTTAGTCTAACCCAACCTCAAACAAGAGCTGGCACAAGTCAATAGGTTATTTTAGGTTTTATTTTAACTTAGCTAAAATGCTTTGGACACAGATTAACTCCCTCTGCAAGTCTAATATTGTTTTTCTGATCTTCAAATGTGAATTGCAAGAGCCTGACTGATAAAAGGATTGGAAAGGAAAAAAAACCCACCCAAAACTGCTGACGCTTTCAAAGTGCCTCTGCAGTCTTCGCTATAATGCTGGGTTTAGCTTCCTGCTTTAACGCTGCTTACCGCATCCTAAGGGAAATTTCATCTAACACAGCAGTCAAATACACAAAGACTTGGGTTTGTATTTTGCCAGTGTCAGAACCTGAATCCATTACTTGGGACACAGACCCTGTGAGCATTCCTAAAATATGAGTCTTCATTTGAACTACAGATCTAAAACATTACAAATAGCTACTTTAATATAACTTGCAACGTTACAGTGCTACTGAAAATAAGATGTATTACGTGAAAACAAAAAACCATTAACACTGAGAGCATTATGCTGAGGGTTATCTCCCTTTTCAAAACCAAAAGGATCCGCTAAGCATTTACCAGTGATTTTCCAGATCTTTTTTGGCAGATTCTGAAATTCAAAAAGACTTTTTAAACAAACAACTGCTCAGAAAGCATCTTGATTAAGAAGTATTTCTTATAGTTGAACTCTCCTGGCTTTATTACTTCTCCTGCTCAAATGGGCTGAAAGAGAGATCACCATTCAGTGATAGCCAGTAAAGAACCAGACGTGCCTTTAATGTCTAAAAAGTTTAATGCAAAACCTTACAGAACTAGTCATCAAGAGCCAATGCTTCACAGCCTAACATGTATCTTTCCCGGTATGTTATTTTATGTGGATCCCATCATAAAACTGCAAACCTACAGAGTTAAGCATTAACACATGGAACCCGTGTTCAGCTAAAATGAAGGAAAAATCCAGAATAATTAACCTGATTCCTTGAAGCACGTTTTACTTGATCCACAATCCAACTGCTTCATGGAATATGAAAGGAGAAGCCCCACTCTTTCTGCAGCAGCTGATACAAACCCATAAGACAAATACTGGTTGAGAGTGCAAAATAAATATTGTTTCCCATCACCTCTTCTCGATGCAATAATATTGAAGAGTTCATGTTGTTTTCTTGCTCTGTACAATAAAACTAATGGAAAGGCCTGAACAGGGATGCTAAGTGCCTGCTGTCACTAATGCTAAGAAGTACTTTGCCCGCCAGCCTCACTCCTGCTACATAATGTGCACCTGAGAAAAAATGAGCATTAGTTAATCCATGTGGGTAGCTTGTTCACGTTCTTTTACCAAACAGCATTTCTGGGTTAAAAACATTACACAGGCTTGTGCATTTACCAAAGTAAAATAAAAAGTTCTTGAGGTTTTGTGCACTACTAAAGTTTAGAGACTA